TTCTAAGGCCCCTAGTCTAACCCCTTCTTCATAAAGAAGCTTGGTTTTCTGGGAGAGAAAGGAGGAAAGCTTGGGTGCATTTTCAGTCAGAAGCCCTGGAGTCTAGCAGTTCTGTGATTTATTTATTTATTTATTTATTTATTTATTTATTTATTTATTTATTTATTTTGGGGGGGGTTTGCAGTGACAGTCTGTTAACCTCCTAGGACCTTAGTTTCCTCACTTCTAAAATGAAGATAATAATGATCCCTATCTTCTGTGGTTGATGGATCAGTTACTGAGTAACTATCCAAATGCTAGCTATATACATTATTAAAACAAATTATGGCCTTTATGGAAGTTATATAGAATTTTTCGGGGGGGGGGGGGTCATCGGAGAAATCTTCAGGAGACTTGATAACACCTTACTTTAAAGAAGGGTTTCTTTTATAGCTTATTAACGCCTGCCTATTAGAATTAGCAACTTGGAGTCATTTTATCCCAGGGGCTTCCACTCCTTCCCCATATTAGCCTTTATCTTGAATCCTCTATTAACCCCCCAAAAGCTAACTTGTTTCTTTAAGTGGCAGCCCATATCCATTAAATGTGTAAACGTAAGATAGCATCATTTAGGTCCTAAAATGTTTGAACAGTGAGAGAAGGGGCCTCTTGATGAGTGGGGCTTCCTCACTGTGTTCAAAGCAAGGTATTTGAAGAAAAAATATTCAAAATTTAATCACGATAAAAGAGATAAAGGGAGATAACAGATTAGGTTCTAATGTTACTTGAGAATCAAATTCCCCTGTCACTCAGAGTGAGGTGGAGGTTTTGGGAGAGTCGCTGGAATGAGAATGGGATGTAGAAGAAGTCTTTGTTTGTATGAGGTTAAATTTCTCAGGTCCTAAGGCTCCCTGCCCCTTAAGCCAGTCCTGGAAAAGGTGCAGCTGTGGTTCTAGCAGAGCCAGAAACAAGGCCAGTGACCAGAGCTTCCGTTCCACCTGCAGCCGCAGCCAGGTGTGGTTCAGCATCCAAACTCATTAGAGTCCATTAGCCCATGTGTGGAGCCCACCATGGCCGTGCACCATGTGGGCACCGGGGAGGCATCCCCCTGCCACGGGAGAGCCAGGAACCCAGGGCATGAGAGAGAGAAGAGAGAGGGAAGGAAGGAACTTGCTTTGTTTGGAAGTTTTGAATATTCTGGTTTTGCTTTCTTGCAATGGTCACACCCATTCTAGCCACTGACTTGCTTTCAGGTGTGATTGACAGACCCACACCTTCCACATCGCTCAGACCTTCCAGCACCTTCCCACATCGCCCAGACCTTGCTTGGTCCTGCATCTGTCTGATCTTCCCTTTCCTCCTTTCCTGTTAAATAACAAACAGGTATTACAACAGCAGCACTATTAGCTCTTTACCTTCTGAATTTTTCTCTTGCATTGAGTTACTGATGGATTCTGATAACTTTCTGAAAACAATAAATAATTCCTAAAAAATAATATGACAAAAATAAAATGAAAAAATGAAAATATTATGGTATCGTCTTAAAAAAAGAGGGGGGGGATATCTGGAAGCTTTAAGATGTGCACACAGAAGTCAAGACAGGGGCTGGAAAAGTCTTTTGCAAATTGAGGTCATTGTGCACAAATCTGTTAGTAAGAATGAAGTCAAGACTATGCAGTGAGTCAGATAGGATTGCTTTTCCTTTAGCAATTCCCCCTACGTCCAAAAGAAAATATCCTTAATTTTAACTTTCTCTGTAGAAAGAGAATGGGTTGTTTTTTCAACTGATGATGATGATGATGATAATAATAATAATAATAATAATAAACCACAATGGTAATTATTTAGCCATATTAATTTTAATATACTATTCTCGATGTAAATACTTCTGGTAATTGAAAGAAAGCAGGATAACCTTCATAGTTCTAGTTTTACACCTTTTATTTAGGCCCAAATGTTTGGGAAAAGAAAACTTGAGCAAAAGAATGTTTCACATGCTTTTATGACATGTCATTAACTTTATTTCCATTTCCCCAGCACTTTGCTAGTTTTATGCTAGTCTTGTTAGAATGAAGATCAGGTAGAAAGACTTGCAAATTTATAATCAGCGACATCCTGTTTGCCTGTCCTTGTTTTAAGTGTCCTTGAAGTTCTGTCAAATCTGGGTTGTACTAGGCGTGCTGAATATCTTTCTCCCCCTCAGGTGTTACGTAGCATGTAGAAGCTCCTTATACCTTCAGAGCCTCAGCGTAATGGCTGTGTTCTCTCTAGAACTGGGATTTACTTCCAGGACCTTAGGAGTTTCTTATCTTCCCTAGCTTCACCTTAGAATGTTAAAAAGTTTTAAAATAAAAGATAAAGCATTGAAGCGCTTTTAAGAATGCCTAACCATTCACTTTATATTATTCCTTCCCAAAGAATCAAAGTCACAGACTTAATAGACCATACACTGTTTAATTGCTCTGTCGTGACTAACTGGCATGCTTTTGGGAGAGGATTTTATGGAAGAAAGGCTTAGGGCCAGGGAAGCTGTGGAGGCGGTTAGCAAAGCCCCCGGGCAGTGGCTGAAAGGGAGAAATGCGCTAAATAAACAAAGTCTTCTCAGGAGCCGCCTTCCCGGTTGAGGTTGGGAATACATACTTGTTGCAGATTGCTCTAGAGATGGACTTGGTTTCCTTTGGTTCAGATTCTGATGGCATTGTCCCCAAATGGCTACATTTTAGGCACTTTCCTTGAGTTCTGGACCCAGTAAAGCCAGAGTATAAGTGATCACTCAGAGCCACCTCAGTAAGTGCCATGGTGTAGGCAGCAAAGCTCTTTACTTTATAACCAAGGCTTTATGCCCAAAAGAATGATTAGTTCTGGGAAAGCACCTCTAATGGCCTCTGGTGGGATATTTTGAGATTCTTAACTTTTGTTTACCATAAGGAACAATGGAGTGCCATCTGATGTCACTGATTTGTGGCCAGCGTATTTTACTCACTCAACCAATATGTATAGTGAGCACCTACTCTGTACCAGGCACTGTTCTAGGCACTCAAGATCCATCAGCGTTAAAACAAAGACCGTTGCCTTCATGAAGAACAAACCACAAAAGAGTAACATAATAAATAAGAAAACTATATTCTGTGTGATCAATCTGTTTGTGCTACCATAGAAAAATACCACTGAGTGATGGAAACCGTAGAAATTTATATTTTGCAATTTATATTTCAGTCTGAAGACTGAAGGTCCAAGATTGAGATGCTCGTCAGTTTGATTCCTTCTGAGGCCTCTCTCGCTCTTTGGCTTGAAGTTGGCCACCTTCTCATTTTGTCCTCACATGTGTCTCTCTTATAAGGGCACCAGTCATATTGGATTAGGATCCTATCCTAATGGCCTCATTTAACTTTAAGTACCTCCCTATCTCCAAATTCAGTCACAATGGGGTTTAGGATTTTAACATACGGATTTGGGGGAGGGGGACACAATTCAATCTTAAACAGTATGTTATGAGATGATAAATACAGGGTGTCTCCAAAATATATATACACACTTTAACAGGTGATAGCTCAATTTTGAAAATGAAATGTATTTTAATAAACACTACCTTTATAATTATTCAGGGTGTGTGCATGCATTTTGGGGACACCCTATATTTTAGGGAGAAAAGGAAGATTAAAGTAGAGTAAGAGAGAATGGGAGTACTAGGGAGGGGTTGCAATTTTGAACAGGGTACACTTCATTGAGAAGGTGGCATTTTATCATAGACCTGGAGGTCAAGTTACATTAGTGTTGATATAACACAGGGACCAGAGGTGGAGAGGTGGAGGAGTGGTGTAAGGGAGGTTGGTCAGAGACACCGGATTGACAGCCCATGGACTAGGTTCGAGTCCTAGCTCTTCCATTTTCTGGTAGCAAAACTTCATTCTGTTAGGTGTTACTAAGAAGTCTGTATCAGGATGAGATCTTCTTTCTCAAAAGACAGACACACCCAGTATAACCAACCTAAACGTCCCACCACGTGGCCTGTTAACGGGAAGCAGGTTGCCTGTGGACGTTGCAAGTGGTAGTAGAGGATGCTTGCCTTCCCTCTTGGTCTCTCCTGAGTGGTATGTAGCTTAGTGTTCTGTAACCAAGCCACAGAATCCATCCCATAATAGGCCAGTTAGCTCTGCCCTGACCGCACGCCCCACACCAACCAACCAACCATGCTAAAAAGGAACCATGGAAAAAGGACATAAGTGGAAACACTGGTGCAATCTGAATAAAATATGGAGTTTAGATCATAGCAATGTGAATTTCTCAGTTCTGACAAATGCATCGTGGTTAGGTCAGATGTTAACATCGGGAATGCTGGGTGAAGGATTTTGTGGGAACTCTTCCAACCATCTTTACAACCTCTCTGCAAACCTGAAATTATTCCAAATAAGTTTTCTTTAAAGAAATACCCATTGTGGACTCGGAGATGACGTGGGCTACAGACATGGACCCAAAAACCAATGCCAAGTGCACGTCCCACTGTTTGTGGGTCAGAGGTGTTGGCTTGTAACAAAGTAAAAGCGGTATTTCTCTAGTCCTAGCTTTTCTTTCTGGCAAATTCTCCATCCTCACTTTACACTCCACCCCAGGTTTTCGCTGTGGGTGTTGCCTCTGACTCGTGTTTATATTCAATATTTTATGGCAGAATAACTGCCTGAAGGCATTATTCTCTAATGGGATTAGGTGGGGAGGGGTCAGATAGGCCCGGGAGTCAGCCACATAGACAGGAAAGAAGACCTTGAGAGAGACCAAAGACAAAGGCACGTTTTCGAATAGGATAGATAGGCTTGAAGGATCCAGAAGCCCTCGCACTCACTCACGGAGTGTATTGTATTTTTTGTGCCCCGGGCGCGGCTGATGTTGGTTAGGTTGTGGTCCCTCCTGCTGTTAGCACAGTGTGATTGTGCATCCATACTTCATTAAGTTGGGGGGCAGCTAAGAGGGAAGTGGCCTTTTATATCTGTGTGTATAGATATATAATCCCTTTCTTCTTTTGACAGCTGCAAATCAGAAGGAGCCCATGAATCTTAACTTCCAAGTGAAAGAGGAGCCCCAGGAAGAGGAGGCCCTCAGCGCCTCCTTGCCTCGGTCCAGCTACGTGTTCAGTCCGGAACCTGAAGTGTCAGCCCCAAGCATCTCTGAGGACACGCTGAAGGCCCAGGAAGGGAAGGGGAGCGGGCTCAGGCGGGACATGTCAGTCAAAGCAGCTTCCGAACTTCTCATGAAACTATCAGGTACTTGCTTTATTCTAAAATGCTCACGTCTGTGCATTTGATTTGGGAGCCAACCGGAAGGCTTCCTGCATGGCTCACCATTAGCCTAATGGCAGCGCTGTCGCGTTATTTCGGTGAATTCAGGGATGACGGACCACTTGCCTTAGATTCCTGTGTTGTATGTATGAGTTTGTTTCCAGATGTTCACTGTTTATCTGCCCTATTAAATGCGACCTAAATATGACTGTGCATTGTTGGAAAACACTACTGCTTTCTAAGATGCTGTAGGTCATAGTTTTAAATGGATTCTAGTGGCAGTCAAAACACTTGTGCTAATTGATCAGATTATCTGCTTCCCCCCCCCCCCCCAAGGAACCTGCATTTTTTTGTGTGTATTTATACTTTCTATTCTTTAAGAACCATTAAAAATATTTTTCTTAACCTGATAAGTAGTTGAGATGGCACTTGAAGTAATTATCCATAGAGTAGCCATGAGATGTTAGAAATAGAAAATTTCATAATGGGATATTGCAATAATTAATCTCAGCCCTTCAGATGAATTACTTTTTAAATTAGTATCTCAATGTAATCTCAGCCTATCAGATATTGGCAGAGCAGATTGTACTAGTAACTTGAAATTTATGTTCCCAGCCTCTTCTCTGCCCCATCCCCTTGGGATCAGGTAAACAGTTAGTGCCTTTTAGATTCAAAGGTGGGACTTTCAGAACATGGAAAGAAAGGTTATATCAATAATAATACTTACCCAGTCAGACCACATTCTTAGTGCACAGCTGCTTAAAGATAATTTTTAGAAACAATATTCAAAATGCTAATATAAGTCTAAAGTTGTTTTCAGTTTGTATCTTGCTGTGGCTGGAGGATGAAAGCAGAATGTGCAGTAGGGCTCCTTTCCCTGTGTAATTTCCCAAGCGAATCTGACTGTGTTTCTGATTGACCAATAGGTTGGAAGTTAAGAACTAATAGTGATTTACTTGGAGTCATTGTATCAGAACATTGAAATTCCTGTATTTGCCAGTTGGGACTTCAGGGGAGAGTGATTTATTATAGATAAAGTTACATCCTACTGTAGCTTCCTTTTTCTAAACTTGGCAATGATATGGCAGCTTCCCCTATAAATGGGAGGTTTAGCAAGAATATGCTGGTTGGTGAAAGCTGAATATTTAAAAACATGATATTCAAGTGAACGTATTTTCATACAGTTGAACCCTCCCTTCAGTGTCAAAAGCCTGGTGACAGAGAGGAATCTGTCTGTTGTTTTTTCAGTCAATTCAGAGAGGCCACCGGCTCTCTGAGTGCTTCCCACATCATAGACTTTCACATTGCAGGGACTTCAACTCTTCTACGAGTGACTCTTCCCCCTCCCAATGGGAAGGGTCTAGTGTATAATGTTTCTGTTTCAGAGTTGGCTGTGCAGCCAGTATTGTGAGCAGAGAAAGCTGGGGTGGCACTGAAAGAGAATATGCAAAAGTGAGATTTCAAGAATGCTGTTTTTTCAGGAAAAGCATTTTATCTTAATCCTTTCAGATGATGAGTGTTGAGTCATGAAATAGGAAATCATTTCCTAGTTAATGAGGTCCCTCAAATGGAATATGGCCATGCAGCCACGCACAGTGGATGACATCTGTGGACAGAAGTGGCCTTTCTAAATGTTTATATTGAGTTTTATTGAGTCCACGTGCTGTGAGTTAAACAATCATTGAGTGGACGAGATGATTGCCTTTCTGAAGGGCATCTGTCCTGCTTTGTGGTGTGGAAGTGAAAATGTGTTTGAAGACGAAGATAACTATTTTTTTCCCCTGAAAAAATGTCCCAGCATTCTAAGTGCAAGAGATCAGGTTAAAAAAAAAAAAAATGCACCCTGGTCCCTACGTTCCAAATGCTTATGTCTGTCTGGTCAGGAGAAAGCCAGGGCAGGGGAATGCTTCCAGTGACTGGCACCTGGAGCTCCGTGCTTCTACTCCCCAGTGCCCAGCAAAGGAAGGCCCACGCTAGTCCTCAATATGGGCGTGTGACTTAAACACAAAGGCCATCATTCCGAAGTTGCAGGGCAAAGAGGACTCACCCTTGACTAGGTTTAAGGTGGACATGGGCATTTCTTAGCATGGATAGATAAGCGCTCTCAGAAGGAGGAAGGTGTTAGGAAAAAACTGCTGCTCCGACTTTCCTCAGGTTGTAACTTTAACAATTTCAATGTTCGTGCCCTGAAAGACATCCAAGTACAGGACTTGTCAGTGTCTGCAGACCCCCTTTTCCACGGCATGTCCTGTCCCTCTAGAGACAAGGTAGGCATTCAGTCCCGAAGCATCTATGCAGGGGAGTCAGGGCTGCTCCGGGTGCACTCCCATGAGACCCCAGACCTTACTGCTGGCATCCTGTCAGGCGGGGAAAACCCTTCCGGTCAGGAGGAGTCAGGAGAAAAAAGGGCGGCCCGGTCATTGTCATACGTTTTCCCTTCTTTCAGTTTGGATCCAAGGAAGAGCTACAATGTAGAATGAAAGGATTTTTCCTGAAGATGGAGGCTGTGATCTATGGTACTTTAGGCCCTTTCAGTCCTTTCATGGAATTAATAAGAGGGACTTAGTCAATAATTTTGGCTGCTTCAATTCCCATTTTAATTTATGATAAAGCCTTAATGGATGTTGGGCCCGTGGCCCAGTCAAATATCATGTGAAACTTCCCTTATGTGGAGAAACCTCTGTAGTTATATTGTTTTCCAAGTGGACATTTACATTTCATCGGGGGGGGGGGGGGGGGAGAGAAAACACAGATGCTTAGAGACTAGACTACATTTTTCATTAGCTACGTGTTTGGGGACATCTGAGTTTTCTTCCTTCCTGTGGCTCGAGTTCTATGTCAGCTGTTAATTGGGAAGTCAAGTGCCTGGCAGCTGGGCCAGATAAATTGATTACCATACAAAAAGCAAGCCGCTCTGGGGAAACCACTGGGCACCTGCAGCTACCTGTTGTTATCCGACAAGAGGCAGCCAGAACGATCACACTTTTCTGCTAAGCGTCTAAGTTGCCAAAGATAATTCCCAGAAGTCTTGACTTAAGGAGGCCAACATGCCAAAGTTCAATACAGAGGATAGATGACATTCGACTGACTAAGGGAATCTAGTCACACTGTTAAACTCCGCTTTTGCAGTGTCTAGTGACCCTGCCAACTTATAGAACAGATGTGTTACCACAGAGAGGACTTAACCCGAAAAGGACACCAAATACCATCTCGTTGTCTCTGTTGTTCGTGAAGAGATCAGGCACTCTTCTCCCTCTGAGGGGCCACGGGCTTACATGGGGATCTGTATATAAAATGTGCCACGTCTATAGTTGTACTTAGAAGTAGCGGGTAACAGTGATTTAAAAATGCAATTCCACAAAAATAAGTAGCTGGAAAGCCAGAGTTATTCAGAAACATTATTGAAAAAAACCCAAGCATTTAAATTTATCCAACATGATAAGTAAAACTGCATATCCAGACCTTATTTTGAAATCTGTCTATTGGTTTTCTTATATCTGTGTGCAAAAAAGGACACCAAGTGGACTTATATTCATTTCTGATTTATATTCATTTATCCCAGCCTAGTGTTGAGAGGAATAGAAATGATAATTGCCTCTAGCAGAAGAATCCGAGCGGGCCCTGGATTTGAAATACACAGTGACGCAGAGTTCAGGGAATCAGCTAACCCAGCGCAGGCTTCAGGGATGAGGGATGTTGAAGCAATTGAACTTGGGCAGGATGAAGTTTTCAGGTGAATATAATCTCTGAGGGAACTGAAGCAGAGAAGAGAAGTACCTGAAGATGGCCTTTATTAACAGTTTTCATTATGGCTCTTTTGGTTGTAAATAAGAAATCCTCTTCAGCCGGTTTAGGCAAGAAGGGAACTTAATGGAAGTCACAACAGAGGCAGGGACTCTGTTGTCCACTGAAGCCAGGGGCCAGAGGCCTGTATGGAGCCCAGGAGGCCTCAGCCTCCACATCATTTCTCCTTCTCTCTTCACATACAGATGGACTTTTTCTGTTATCCAACCACATGGTAGAAAGTGGTGATGCCAACAGCTTCCGGGTTCAAAAGAGCAACTAGTCCTAACGGGTTTGGCTCTGGATAGAGCGTCGGCCTGCAGACTGAGGGGTCCTGGGTTCGATTCTGGTCAAGGGCATGTACCTTGGTTGCGGGCACATCCCCAGTAGGGAGCGTGCACTAGGCATCTGAATGATGTTTCTCACTCATCGATGTTTCTAACTCTGTCCCTCTCCCTTCCTCTCTGTAAAAAAATCAATAAAATATAAATATATTTTAAAAGGATTAACTAGCCAGACTGGTGTAGCTCAGTGATTGAGTGTCGACCTGTGTATGAACCAGGAGTTGAAGGTTTAATTCCTGGTCAGGGCATATGCCCAGGATGCAGGCTCGATTCCCAGTGAGGGGCATGCAGAAGGCAGCTGATCAATGATTCTTCCACATTCTTGATGTTTCTATCTCTCTTTTCCTCTCTTGTCTTCTCTGAAATCAATAATTATATATATATTAAAGAGCAACTGGCAGACATTTCTTAGTCGCAATTCCAAATTCCAGCAGATTGCCTCACTCTGATTGGGGCCCAGCAGTGGACACTCCTGTATGTAGGGATAAGGGCATGTTGGGGAGACATGGGTGCTATCATATAGGATCGAAACATCCTGGTGGGCAAGAGTGAAGGTGATGTGAGACCAGGATGATAGCCAATGAATATGAACCACAGACATTGAGGAGCAGATTATGGTGATTGCTGGTATTTAAATGTTAAATGTAAATGTGTCTTGGCCTTTGGGAGATGTTTCCTTTCTGGTAGACTCTCAGAGGAGACCTGCCCAGCCAGCCCCCGCTCTGTGTGTCTGAGGCGGTGCTTCTCCGAGGACAGCCCACAGACCGGCAGCCTTTACACAGGTTGGGAAGCACAGCCAAGTGTTAGAAATGCACATTCCTGAGCCCTCCTCTGCACCTGGCTGATCCTCTGTGGTTT